ATCACTATGATTAATGATGAACATATCACAAGTTTCTTGAAGTAAATAGTACATCTTCAAGGAAGGCGCTGATCTAAATGCGAGCGAGCGGCTGAGATTTCAGGAGCAACTGAGCCTGGGCTAGAATCGAATTTTCGGGAGAAAAGAGATTGGGCAACACTCTGCGCCGGCGCACCGGCCGAATCTTTTGGCCGGTCAGCCTAGATCCGTCCGATCTATACGCGCGCGGCCGTTAGATCTCTCTCCCGTCCACTCCCGCACCCATCATCAACCTCTCACACGGAGAAAAGGAGAAAGAAGGAGAGCGCCGCCCCCGCCCTCTGCCTCCGCGCGCTCGCCGGCCACCCCGGGCTCGCCGTCCCCATGGAGGAAGACGCCTTGCTGGTCGCAAAAGCCTTCATTTGTCGTCGTAGCAAATTCCGCCGTCGGTTGTAGCAATTACCGAGGATGGTTGTAACAAAAAATATCGCAGACCCTTGGTTGTAGTTCGTCGCACCATGGACGCCGACCGCACTATTGCCGGTTCCAGCATCATATGGAAAACGACGGCATGGCTTGCAGCCAAACAAAAGCCGGCGGTAGCATTTTTTGGAGAGGGTTCCAGCCAAAACCAAATCTCGTGGAAGCTTTTGGACGATTCCTTCCAGGAAACCCAAAAAGGCGATGGTAGCAAATTTGGGCGCCGGTTCCAGCAAACTCCAAAACGGTTGCAGCAGCAAAAAGGCATCGCCGCCGTCGACCAGCACCGCCGTGCATGTATGTAGCAAAAAAAGTCACCGGTGGCAGCAAAAAAGGCTACCGTCGTAGCAAAAAGCATCGCTGGTCCAGCAGGATGAACTCCTGTGGTAGCATTCCTGAACAAAAATGCTACAACCAGTATTTCGAAAGGCTGGAACCAGTTGTTTCATGAAAAAGATGCAAAAGAAACATATTTTTGAAGAAAAAGCTTGAACAGAATGATTTTCAAAAAAGATACAACCGGTTTAGCAAAAGCTACAACCGATGATCCAGAAAGCTACAACCAGTTAGCACAAAAAATCGGGCAGATCTTCCACCGCCATGGCTGCTGCGCGAGGGAGGGGGAGGAGGGTCGCCGGAGTTGCAAAACAGGGCCATGCCCATCGGTGAGCTCGTGTTTTATTTCGTGGCGTCGGAGGTGCTCGCAGCAGCGGGCTCGGAGTTGTTTCTGCGACAGCAAACTCACAGCCGGTGGAGCGGGCAAGGCCATGACTACTGCGGGAGGAAGAGAGACGGAGAGGAGAAGCGAGATTGGGAAGGGAGAGAAACAGAGGGAGATGATAGATAAGTGTTTGGATGGATAAGAAAGGAAGGGGGGCGGTGCGCGGGTACCATGGGAAGGGGACACGTCTGATGAGAGGAGCAGCGAGCGTTCAATCTATGTATGTGCCGCGTGCGACCGGCCCAACGTTTGGCCGGCGCACCTGCCACAAACGTTTCCCAAAGAGATTTCCCTAGAAAAAAGAGAGGAAAAGAGATAAAAGGGAAAGGAAGAACTAACGCATCGTCGTCTGCGAAGACTGCGAAACCCAAACCCCAGACTCAGCGACAGAGAGCAGCCAGTAGCCTCCTCCGCCGCCACCCATGTCAGGAGGAGGGATCGCGCGGGGCCGCCTCGCGGAGGAGCGCAAGGCCTGGCGCAAGAACCACCCCCATGTCCGTATCACCCCCCTCCCTGTTAGCGTCTCACCCCCCGCCCCTCCTACCGGCGATTCGGGTCTTGATCTGGTCCTTCTGGTTCGCAGGGATTCGTCGCGAAGCCGGAGACGGTGGCCGACGGGTCGGTGAATCTCATGATCTGGAACTGCACCATCCCCGGAAAGCAGGGGGTAAGTACCTGAGTAACTGTGGAGCGCCCGATTCGATCTGGTTTGGTCTGTGAGGCAAAGGGCTTGTCTTTGATAGTGATATATTGCGCAATCGCCTCTTGCGTGTGTGTGAAAATTGAGGGTTTCTGGACTTTCGTGGTATTATTACAGTAGTAGACTACTAAAACTAGGTTCGATGGGTGCTTTGGCCTATGTCTGGTGGTTCATCTATGGATTATGTTACCTATTTGTTGGACTGGGTATTAGGAACTGTGATGTTATTCGTGACAAATTACTAATCTTCAGTTCTTCCTCGTCGTGTATCTGTTACCCCAACCTAGGAGCTATAGAACTAATGTGCCTTCTGTCCATACTTTGCGTACAACAAAACTGTAATACAACATCAGTGGCAACAAAGCCTTGATTCCCAAGCATGTTTGTGCAGGCTAGAGATGAAACACACAACATGAGCCACAGGAACCCAAGCAAAAAGTTAATGATTTTGGCCACATGATACTTTTCTATAACACGATTCGCCTTTACCCATTTTGATGTGACCAGGGAACTCAAGTTATCTGGTCATGCCTTTTTTATTTTTTTGAGGAATCAGGCAGGTGTACTGCCAATGCATTTAAGAAGAAAAGAAGTTTTTACATGATCAAACAATCAGGTCCAAAAAGATCAGACCTCAAGAAAAGAAAATTAATAACGACTACTCGTGTCTAGTGGTAGTGGGCGCTGCGAAACAAACCCATCAAAACCCAAACATCACCGAGCTTTAGAAGATAAACATCATGCTTAATGCGCTCAGCTAGACGTTTCTGTACCTGTGCATTGCTCAAAAACGCGTCTGTTATGTTCCTTAATATGTGCCAACTGCAGTAGCTATATGCTACAGCTGAGTGTAGACAAGCCGTAGGAGTATGCAATTCACCTTACGGTGCTGCTCATCCATTCATGTGTATATATAGTGCACTTTACAAAAGAGGCATAGAGCGCAGTCCACGGTTTTCACAAGGCACGCCGTGCGCAAGAAGTGGTGATCTTGTGCGGCGTGCGTGGCTGCGTGAGACCAGAATGTGCAGCTAGGGTGATTGCTAATTGCACTGAGAGTTTGAGATCAAAGAGTCGTCAGCTCGTCACTGATAGCTGCTGAAAAAGAAAACCTCCAGGCTGCTGGCAAAGTGAACTGATGATGAGCAAGGTGTAATGTTAGCTTATCAAATCAGTTTTGGCCATGAGAGTCCACATGCCAAAAGAGTAGGATCAGGCATGTAGAGTTTTCAGGAAGCTCATCACATAGGGTGATAGGGAGCACATGGTGTTGTTTGGGATGCCATGGTTAGAAATATTTTTATTGGTGAGAAGTCTTTCCTGAAGCCAAAGCCAAAGAAACTATCGGTACTTATGTTCCATTTTTATAGTCCATACCTTGGTGAGGTTGACACTACAATAGGATCCCTAAAATGGCAAATGTAGGCAGGAGAGGCTGAATACGACCTGTTAGCAGATGCCATGCTTTCCTGCTGCCGTTTTTGAGACTAGTGGGAAAGGATTCACAACAATGCCAGAGACATGCAAAGTTGTTGGATCAACAGGGGGAGTAGGACGGAATTTCTGTATAGATAGATAATGTGCAGTCAAACCATTCTGCCTTGCATCTGGTGGACTTTGCTAATCTCTTGCATCTGTTTTCCCAGTTGTGTGATATGACTGTTATGGTGAATATATGTTCTTCACTTTGTATTTCTCTTTCTTGTTTTGTCATGCTGTTAACTCATTGCTCACTTTGTATATCTCTTTCTTGTTTTGTCGTCCCTGTTAATTCATTCCAAAAGGTCTGGATTTTTTGACTGAAGTGTCTTAACTACTCCCTCTTCATTTGCGCAGACTGATTGGGAAAGTGGATACTACCCACTTACTCTCCACTTCAGTGAGGACTACCCTAGCAAACCTCCCAAGTGCAAGTTCCCGCAGGGTTTTTTCCACCCAAATGTCTATCCTTCAGGGACGGTCTGCCTCTCGATTCTTAATGAGGATAGTGTAAGCGCAGCAAAGCTATTTACTTAGGTTTTATTGAAATGGCACACCACCAAATTTACAGTTCAAGTTGCATATTCTCAGGGTTGGAGACCTGCCATCACTGTTAAGCAGATTCTAGTTGGAATACAGGATTTGCTTGATCAACCTAATCCAGCTGATCCTGCCCAGACTGATGGTTATCACCTCTTTATCCAGGTTAGAATTAAAAACTGAACAAGATTCTTTCATCCGTTAGTCCTTCAGTATCATCCATTCACATTGTTTTCTTTTGCTTTGCAGGATCCAGCAGAGTACAAGAGACGCATTCGGCTGCAGGCCAAGCAGTACCCTGCTCTGGTTTGAGGATCCAACGTAGCAGTCTAAAATCATAAATTACCGCACCTGAAAATATGAAGTATGACTAAATATAACCGAAAGCGGGGTATTGTGGAGAGCTTTCCATTGTGACCGTGGACATTTGTGACGTGTGGTCTGGTGTTGACCAAACAAAAATCAGGTCCTTCTGCTTGAATGATGGATGTGTGGATACTTTTAAACTTGACTCCTTGATTGTGTCTTCTTGACTTTTTTTTGTGTGATTGTTTCGGTGATCTCTTCAAAAATAATTTGATGTGAACACTTCCTTTTAAAGGAAGAGGTAAAAGAAGGGGCAAGGGCAACCCAGTTGAACCCTAAATACAGTAGGACTTTAAAAAGGGGACGGGTGTTCAATAAAGTTAATGATTCTCTGTAGGCGATTTCTTGTCAGGAGAATTGATCTGTGCTTGTTATTTTTACAAATCAGTATTCTTGTGGCTTGGTGTTATTAGGGTTGTAGCAACTTTAGTCTGTCCACCAGCCACCTCTGATTGCACGGAAAAGTTAATTGAACTAGGGTGTTTTTAGACACAATACAACCTGCAAATGTTTTGCTTTGATCGTGCTGCAGAGTTTTACACTATCAGTCGTGCGTCAAACCCCCCCGTGGTTCACATGGACAGGGGCAACGCGCGACGGTGTCCTAGAGAAAGTAAGGAACGAAGCAACGAAAAACGGTAGAGGGCAACGATCATCCCAGCAGAGCACCGCAGAGCGTTGTCAGTGTCACAGCCCCTGCTTCTTGTGCCGTGCCTCAGACCTTCGCTTCGGCTCCTATTTGAAGTTGGCGCGAGCCTGGTACGTGAGCCCGATGCTCCAGCTCGCCGGCGCGGCGTCGGCGGCGATGATGGTCAGCCCGGTGGTGTAGGAGGTGAGCTTGAAGCTGAGCGCCTGGCCGCCGAGCTGCCCGAACGCCTGGTACGAGGCGCCCCAGTTGTGGCTCATGCGCAGCCACCCCATGCCGCCATTGCCCTTCACCCACATCTCCCCGACGTCGCCGGCGCCGCCGACGTTGGTGACGTACACCAGCAGCCAGTGCGGGTTCCCCTGGAACGCGAACCGGATCCCGCCCTTGCGCATGCACGGCACCCTGCGGTACATGACGGGGACGATGCCCGCATGCCAGTCGGCCATCTTCTTGAAGGCCGGGATGGCGAGGTCGAAGTGGGTGCGCGGCGGGTTGCACCAGCCGCCGTTGTTGGTGTCCTGCGCCCAGTTGGGAGGGCACAGGTTGGTCGCGGTCACCGTGATCACCGGCGAGCCCCTGTAGCAGGCCGTGGCTTTCAGGCACCGGATCTGGTAGCACGTCCCGCACCCGTAGCCGTCCAGGACAGCGTCGAGCTCAGCGCCGCCGTGTCCGCGCCGTACCCCGCCGTGATATCGTACCCGCACGCCCCGCCTGCGAGAACACAAGAACTAGACATTAGCATAACAAGAAACAAGCATGCATGGTCATTGACCAATGTAGTACGTGTGCAGTGCAGGCTACGTACCCATCGTCTCGGCCGTAGCCTCGTCGCCATAGAACGTGGCGTGGGCGGGAGTCCACTGCATGGCCCTGAACCTGGCGTCCACGGTGGTGGCCACGCCGGCAAGGGAGACGACGAGGACCAAGACGGCCGCGGACTTGGACTTGGACGCAGCAGAAGCCATTGCCTTCGCTTCGCTTTGCCTTGTAGTAGTGCTCTCTTCTTGGCTGAGTTCTGTCAGAAGATGGCATGGGGCGAGTGGATTTATAGTGTGCACTACGTCGGATTGGATCAATCAGTGTGGTGGTTAGATCAGCCGGTGATGATTGAGGAGGAACATATATCGTTCAATCTTCGGGCCAAGTCGTGCCTGCACGCAGTCGCGAAATCGTGCAGATTTGTACGGCGTGGCATACGTGCGGGCAAGGAACCGAGCTGTACTCTGTTATTCTGCCGTTTTGCTGGTAGACCGAATTTTGTATGTTTTTCTCCTTCGAAAAGGAATTTCGCACGTTGGAACTGTGTCTTTTAATTTCTGATCACGATATGTTATTTTTTCTGGGAGAGATCGGATAGGTTAACATTCTTATTCTATTTTTTTTAAACTAGCACAAATGCCCGTGCGTTGCAACGAAAAAAAAATGGTTCCTATGAATGGGCCAGGTCGAGCAACGATGCCATAAGACAATGGATGGATCGTTGATCAGGACATGCATGGGTATGATTCCCAGTAAATTAATTTGACTGAAGAGCGTAACTTTATTGTTAATTCATTCTTTAGATGACTATTGGTACATTCTATAATTTAAAAGTAGAACATGAAATAAATAGCAATATTAACAAATCTGAAGTAATAGCAGCAGCAAGCTAACAAATCGAGGTGATAGTTGCAGTAAGCATCTACTCAAAAATAATAATACAGCAAGCATAATCTGCTCATACTTTTTAGTTAAGAATTTTTTTTGTGTGTGTGTGGAACTCACATCAAAACATATTTTATCAAAAAAATTTATAGACACTTATCTTTTCTTGGAGGAATTCATATTAACATGTTTGATGCTTCCTAGGTTTGAATTGAATCTGTAAATATATTCCACGAAAAGAAAGAATTTGTAAAATATATGCTCGATAACCTGAACTGAAGCTATGACTGAATTTTCCCTCATGTTACTTCTTATGTTTATTATCTATATCTACTATGTGCTTCTTTTAACTAAAAGAAATATAGCCAATTTAGTTCACAAATGACACCAAGATGACCAGATCATATGTTCAAGTCACAGTCCACCCCTCGTCTCCTACTATGCAACCACACAACTAGAGATGCGTACCAGAGCACTAAAGCGAACAAAAAAACCCAGGGATGCTTCCTTCCCGATGCATGTTGTTCTTGATGCCGAAGGACCGTGGCTTGTGTAGAGAACAGACCATCAGATAATTACCACACCAAGCCCAGCACGTTGGACACACGCCACACACATGACGACAAAGGCGCATGCAGCCGGCCAACATGCTTTGCCGCCTGAGTGGTGCACATGAGCGTGTATCGCTCGTCACGCTCGCCGGACACAGTTACCGGACGCATGCGGCACACCAGCACAGCCGCTGTCCTCGTCAAACCCACCGTCTGCTGCTAGACAACGGACGTCTCTGTCGTCTCATCCTCGTGTTCTCTTCTTCCTCCCCTCTAATCGGGAACTGCTAATTCCCTCGATAGATTAGGTGGGTGCGTAGGCGACGGACGGTCTCGAGCGTTGCTAGAAAGCGCCACGAGGCTCTGGGACTCGCTTCTCAACTGGTTCTGAAGGTTTGCTGCCTAGCCCTCCTCTTCCATCATTTTCGCTCACGGTCGGCAGGAGGGACGAAGCACCCTGTGGAACTTGCCTCATCGTATGCCTCCTCTCGTCTGATGGCTCCATCGGCTAGTCCGCGTCTACCGCCAGATCCACCTTTTGCCTTCTCTTTCATGAGCAGTATTTATTGGAGGGTTAGAGGCGGCAGCCAGGGTTGCGGAGATCGGTGCCCTGTGTAGGAAACAAACACGAGCGGGGAGACTGGGAGTGCTTGCGAATGAAAAGACTCCAAGTGGGCAACATATATAGGACAAAAAAATCACCTAAACGGGGCGGACGAAAACAACAACGTAGCGGGGGATATATATAGATAGATTAGTATCACCTTGAAAATAGAGAATAAATATAAACGTGTTGAAGAAAAAAAACTGAAAGCGTAAATTCATGGGAAGAAACTTAAGGGCCAGTGCGTTGCAACGGAATAAAAAAATGTTCACATACTTTCTTAATGACAAAACACAGCGTGCAAGCCACAATAATCAAGCTCTCCTTTTTTAGTGAGAGACTCATGCATTCATGGTAAAAACTAATGTATATTTTAAGGTAGATGCATGATGTTAATATCATATAGTATGATTTATATAACCATGAATGCAACTATATCGTAGATCAAAAATCTATCAAATGAGATACTTTTACTTTATGAAATATCATAAACTTTGTGAATACTTCAAATGATATTAGTAGGAACCGTAAATTTTTCAGAAATTTAGAAAATCAAATAACATACTTAGAGTTTGAACCTACTTGAATTTAAATTTAGTTTGAATTTGAACAGGAAATATTAACTATATGTAATACTCCTATGTAAATATTTTATTTGGATCTTTAGTGGTCCTGCATATAAGCAAACATAAATTTTACAAGGCATTTGAGATGAATTTTGGTTCAAACAATCCAATTTTTGTTTGAAATAAAACAAAAGTAGAAAAGGAAAGTAGACAGAACCCATCCCATGAGTAGATGCGTCCTCTCTCTGTTTATTGGATCGGATCTCTTTCTTGTTGGCACCTGCAACCAGCTATCTCATGTAAGCCCTTCTCTCTCGATCCATCTGATCTCGTATGATAAACTGAACCCACACCTCACCCCATTTTTCTTTATTTTGGAGAGACTTGTTGATTGTTTACTTGCGGACATATAAAAATCTGTGGGATTCGATGTAAAGTAGCAAGGTGGCACTATCAATTAATATAAGCAAACTTTGTCTTCTAAAAGAAACTGAAAGCCAACTCTGTTGGTTGCATCCTTTACTACGTAATAACGTAGAGGTTCTTGGGTTGATCCCAAAAAAGAGCAATATTTTCCCTTATTATAGGATGCCTGGCAATTATTTTTGCCTAGATGGGCTAAGGCCCGATAGCGGCTTGGTGAGGACGGTGGGGCGCAGAAAGTCGTTACGCATCAGCTTCGTCGCCGCGCCGCCAGGCTGCCAGGCGTAAAAGAAGTAGTCGTCCGAGGGCTCTTTCGTGGGACTGAAGAAGAGCTTTGGCCGGCCGGCGGCGACGGACTGTGGTTCGCCCGCCGGGGGTGGAGCTCGAAGAAGCGCGGCGACGAGAGAGTGGCCTGCCACGAACGCGAGACGCAGCGAAAGCGCCCCGCAGACTTGGCCGGCAGGTAGGCAAGGATTTCCATGACGACTTTGTGTGGCAACGGCGACCTCTGTGCCGAGGCATCATCGTCCTGCTGCTTCTCCTGCTCGTGTGCCGCCATCGATCCTTGTGCTTAATTGTTCTTGGTTGTAGTGGCTTCCGATGATGCCCCGATCGATGATCTCTTGCGTGGCTGCCCATGATGGCTCGATCTTATTTAAAACGGCGAGAGGTTCAGGTTGGCTAAGTGAAGCAGGAATCGTGCTTGTGTACGTAGGCGTCGCAAGTTGGTCTTTGAGTTTGATTCGGTTTGGGCATCCCGTGTCTTGTTTCCTAGCTAGTGTCTACGTGTTTGAGTAATACCACGTGACCAAAAGTAACGTCGTGCGTGATGGGCCACATGATCACATGGATAGTACCACCTCGGATGTAGAAAATAATATAGGTGAAAAAAACTAAAAGCGTAAATTCACGAAAAGAAAACGTATTGTGACGGTAAACCCACGAAGTCAATCCGTACTTTATTATTAGTGAAAGATAACATATGCACTTTATTCAACCGAAATAACAGATACATTATTTGTTTGTAAGGAAAGGTACAATTTCAATCATAGGCTCCTCAAACCAATCAACAACACAAAATAATCTTAGCCAACCTAGCAAGCTCGTGCACGACTTTATTGGCTTCCCTATTACAGTGTTCAAGCATGGAGGAAGAAAAATCACAAGCCAAAAATAGCAATCATCAAAAATTGTAGTCGCCGCTCCTGCTGACCATCCGCCATTATTCATAGTTTCAATAACCTCCAGATTATCAGAATTAATAACAAGGCGGTTGCATCCCGCCCGTTGCGCTAGCGATAGACCAAATCTGAGAGCCCAAGATTCCGTTGTTAGAACGTCGACGCAATGATCTATTTTCCAGAAACCCCCTGCAATAAAATTCCTTTTATCGTTCCTCAGGACGGCCCCAAACGTACCTTTGAGAAGATCATGATCAAAAGAAGCATTAACACTAAGTTTTACATATCGCACTGGAGGACGAGTCCAACCCCCCTTTTCATAGAAGCCTTTGGACTGGAGGCACCAACATAATTAGTCGTAAGAGCTTGTATCCCCATTGAAACGTATTTAGCATCTTGAATTCTCTCCTTGTGCACTAGTTTACGTCTTTTCCAACACAAATACCAAAAAGTAACGGCAATCATCTCCCGAATATT